GACGGTTGGGTGTTTGACTGAAGCGGTCTCACCCCAAAACTTTTTCCCTCTGTGTCCTGCCCTCATGCCTTGTCAATCACCCCCTCTCTCTGCCTCGAGGCCATGGGCTTTCCTCCAGTGACGTCAAGGGCTCATCCTCCCCCCCTTTCCCCCATTGACGCCTCTGCTTTTTCCAGGGCTTTATCTCTCTCACCCACACCCCACCTCAGATGGCTCAGTGTGGCGCAGGAAGGGAGGCAGATAATTGTGCCCCCTCCCCCCCACTCGTCACTGGTCACCTGGCCCCTCCTTCATTCATCTCAGGCCAGCAAACGGTTCTAAGAATCAATAGTACATTTAGGAATCGGTTCTATAGAATAGGTGCAAACCTGCTGAATCCCACCTCTGATACAATTGTTTAGTCGTTCAACCATGTCCAACTTTTTATGACCTCATGGACCAGAGCACGCCAGGCCCTCCTGTCTTCCACTGCCTCCTGGAGATTGATCAAATTCATGTTGGTAGCTTCGAAGACACTGTCCAACCATCTCGTCCTCTGTCGTCCCCTTCTCTTACCTTCGCACTTTCCCAGCATCGGGGTCTTTTCCAGGGAGACTTCTCCTGAGATGGCCAAAGTATTGGAGCCTCAGCTTCAGGATCTCTCCTTCTAGTGAACACTCAGGGTTGATTTCCTTCAAAATGGATAGGTTTGTTCTCTTTGCAGTCCAGGAGACTCTCAAGAGGCTCCTCCAGCACCACAGTTCAAAACATCAATTCTTCGGCTGTCAATCTTCTTCATGGTCCAGCTCTCACTTCCATACATCACTACTGGAAAAACCATAGTTTTGACTATGCGGACCTTTGTCGGCAAGGCAATGCCTCTGCTTTCTCAGATGCTGTCTAGGTTTGTCATTGCTTTCCTCCCAAGAAGCAGGTGTCTTTTAATTTCCTCTGCCCCTTTGAAATCCAGCTTGTACTTCTCGTAGTATATAATATACTCAATTTTTTAAAAATCCTCTAACAAACAGGAAGGACTAAATGTCTTATAAAACATTAAAGTAGAAATATATCTGTTCTGCTTTATCATATGGGATGGAGTTGGGAAATTTTTAGCCTTCTAGATATTTTTGACAGAAAATCTCACTGTCCTATACCACTGGCCAGGCTGGCTGGGGTTTCTGGAAGCTGGCATCCAAGCCTGATCAGAATGTAGTGAATTTCATGATTCATGTTTATGCAAGTTCTAATATGTGTAATGGTGACACTCTCTGTTCAGTTTATATAGGACTGTGGCCTAAATATCACTCTCATATAAGACTGTGGCCTAAATATCATTCTCATATAGGACTGTGGCCTAAATATCACTCTCTTTTTCTAAATACTTTGTTCTCAAATTTAGCTCAAAGACCACAATTTATTTTCTTCACATTGTGTACAGGGTAAAATAAGATATTCCTCTTAAAAGTATATACTTCCTTTACATATGAAAATTATATATCTATTTCTCCAGTTGGTCGATGCTGAAAGGCCACTACAGAAGCCACCAATCAAACTAGAAAAGCTTGAAATCAAAAAGAAGAAAGGACATAAATTAACAATAGAGGAGCCTGAAAACAAGACAGATTTTCTTGAAAATAGAAGAAATTACAATATCTAATCTGAACTCCTGCACTGTAATATCCAAATACTTGATAATCTAGAATGTATGTATCAACATATCAATGCACAAGGGATGCTTATACAGTATTCTTTCTTTCTCTCATTTTTTAAATGAACTTAATGAATGAGTCAACTCATCTGTAAGTTTTATTGATTCAAATGGGCTTATTCTAACTGCAATTTATTTTAATATACTGTAGTATGTCACAGTTAGAGTCAATGATTTATTGAATCAATGAAACTTATGGAGGAGGTGACTCACCTAATCCCCATTGATTCAGTGGGCCTATGCTAGCACAATTTGCTATGCAAAGGAACACGTTTTGGGCTACTGACTGTCCTTTTTCCTGTGAGCATAGGTGCACACAGTGGATACAAATACTGTAGTACCTTTGCACGCAACATATACCCTCAAAAGAGAAAATACCAAATTATACATATATATAGTGCCTGTGCGCCTACAGCTTGCTTGGACACACACTCTGGGCTAGTGGTTCCCAACCTTGGGTAACCCAGGTGTTCTTGGATTGCAACTCCCAGAAACCCTGGGGTGGAGACTTCTGGGAATTGCAGTCCAAGAACAATTGGGCTACCCAAGGTTAGGAACCGCTATTCTAGGCTAACCTTTCCCAAACTAGAAAGCCTCCAGAAACATTTGATTACTTCTGGATGGTAAAGGATTGGTGAAGACTGCTCCCCTATATGGAGGTCAGGACATGCTCTACCATTGCAATCCTAAACTCTACCATCCAGACTATGATTATGTTCATATCACTAATTTCTTCTTGGGGCTATTTTATGTAAGTACATGGATCAAAATATGTTTCATATTTGCTATACCTTGTCTCTTTTCAGTCAAAGGAAAGACTACTGAAAAAAGAATTGCTGGCTGACAGACCTTCACTAATAAATCCCTATGAAGGCAAGACTTCAGGGAATGAAACAGACTGTTCAACTTCTATAGTTAAAAATAGTTCTAGTACTATTCAGTTGCTAACCTTAAATCTAGCAGTAGGGAGCTGGATGGAGAAGGAAGAAATTGATGAATATTTAAACAATGTTGAGGACTTTGTGGTTGAGTCAGATGTAACTTACAACACAATCAATGAAGTATTCTGATCAACAAAACTATAGCAGTTGTATAGTAGAATCCTATACTTGTTTATTTAGAAGTTAGCCCTCTGAGTTCAATGGGAGTTTCTCCCGAGTGTATACAGGATTGCAGCATTAGGATAATTAAATTTAATTGTCATGATGTCTAGGTTGTATTTACATCATCAGATTTTAGCTTGGTAAAGTAATTTATGTTTCTAGTAGAGAGAAAAATACAGTATATGGGTGAATACGTTAGCAGTGCTGTGTATATTATTGAGAGTTCAGGGAAAAGAAAAACAAATGGGTAGATTTTGTAGAAAGCTTGCTGTTATAGATTTTTCTGCCTGCATAAGGAGGAGGCCTTTCATGTCAACCCCGGTTGAATGTCTTGCCTCTTTTCAAAAATTGGTTGTGCCATTGTTTAAGTTTTTAGACCATGCTTTTGTTATTTATGTTATATTTACTTCTGTGTACTGTAGTTTGTTTTAACTGATTCTAAACTGCCCAGAATAGTGCTTTGGCACTAAAGGGACGGTACATAAACAAACACACAAACATTGCATTATAGTTGCTGCAATAATAATGAAATGCAGGATAAAATATCTCACATTAAAAATTGCATTTTAACTAATTTTAAGTCTCACAAATCTATTGTTATTAATATTCAGGTTTCATACTGATTTCTTTGCATTAAATATATAACATTTTTATTTATATTGCCTTGAAATTCTCATTAAGATCAAGGCATATTCTATATAAAATTTAAAATAAATAAATAAGAGCATCTAGGCAATAAGATGAAATGCCGAGTGTACTCACAGGAGCTGTGCTCCAGCCAATGTATCTTTCTCTGTCCAGTTCTTCTCTACCAGCAGATCAACTACTGCTGTACTAGCTCCATCAATATTCACAAAAGAGGAGGAGCAAAAGGTTAGTAACAGGCACAGCAGAGTGGGGAAATAAAATGGCATTACAGAGACTGAAAGAATGACTATGAGAGAATCTTATGCATTGAGTCCCTGATGGAGGTTTTTTTAAAAAAGGGTTCTTATTGGCAGAGCCTACCCATCCATTTTCATTTCAGTAAGAAAGGTAGGTACCTTACACAGCAGAGCAACAGGTGTAGTAAATTCCATTCACCTGGAAGGACCCCAGTGTTGCTGTCGCTGTTTCTGCTCCCTTCCCTCACTCCTTTCCCCTTTCATGCCAGGCGTTGCTTCATGATGGCAGCACCATTGCCCACCTGTCTGCTTCCTGTTTGCGGTTGGCACTGCCTTTGTCATAAAGCAAGACACAGGAGGAAGGAAACAAGGCTGCAGTAATGACGATGGAGTGGTTCTCTTTCCATCTTAGGCAGTTGCATAGCTTCGGCTGCTATTGTTCATCCCTCTTTGTTTTTGTAATAAATAGTTCTGAGCATGACATGCAGTATAAAGGTGATCCTGCTTTATAAACCTGCCACATTTAGTAAGGATAGGTTTAATAGGTTTTGTGGAAGGGGAGGTCTTAAAAAGAGTGGGAAATATAGATGGGCACAAATCTGAAAAAGTGTGTTTTGTGATGGTTCATGGTTAGCCATGAACCATGAACCACAAACCACCATTTTTCAACTGGAAAACTGAGCTGGTTCGCAGTTTGTTTTTTCTGTTTGTGTCCGGTTGGGGAGGGCTACCTGTTCCTGTTGTATTGCAATGATGGCAGTGGCAGCACAGCTTCCCTTCCAGGAGCCCTGGGGCTGCCTCTCCGCATGTGCCTGACCCCCAGCTGATCACCCTGACCATCTGGGTGGCAGGCAGGTGCATGCACAGAGGCTGCAGGTCTGGCTCCTGGAAGAAAAGCTGGCCTGCCATCTTTGAGGGTGGCGGCAGCAGTGGGGGAGACAACAGGATCAAATAGGGCGATGAGAGGGGCAGTGGGATGAGGGTGGGTGGGTATCCATTGCGCTAAAGCAAAACTAAGCGCCATGGGGGGGGTTTCAATGCTTCATTTTCCTTTGGCAAAACACAATCTCCCAACTAGGTAAAGAACCAAATCACAAACCAGCCTGACTTTTTTCTTTTCTCTTCTCTTTTGTGGTTTGGTTTGCACTCATCTCTAGTGGGAAGAATTTGCTTCCTTTTATCCATTTTGGTTAGGGAATTGAAATGAAAATGGCATATACCATAAAGATGTCAGTAGGCAAGAAACCTGTGTCGTTTCAAAAGAGTAGTTATATTAAACTTTAGGAAGTTCAGCTGAATGAAAACATTCACGACTTTTTCTTTCTGATCAATTGGCACCAAAATTGGAGGAAGTGCAAAGGAGACGGAGTTGGTTGATGGGTGTGGAACAGACAGGACTTGGAAGCGCTACATTTTCCAGCCATATTTTTCACTGATGGTTTTGTATGGGTCTGGCCTATTCCCTTGACACTGTGGCTATCAGCTGAAATGAAAGTGTGCCCATCCTTATTTCATATAGTGTATGTGTAAAAGCTAACATGCCATTCATATAATAATAATAATAATAATAATAATAATAATAATAATAATAATAATAATAATAATAATAATAATAATAGCTCTTCAAATGTGAATCGAAATAAATAAATAAATAGGTGATGAGATGTTAATAAAAGACAACCACAGTATTTCACATCTTGCATTTACTTTCTGTTATCAAGAGGAGGGGAGAAGAAAGCAAAAGTGTTTCAGGTGGTGGTGATGGGAATGTGCATGCAATTTATTTCTGCAAACAGTAGAGGGAGCACTGGTGAACAGCTGGACTGCAAAAGTTAAAATCTGTCCAAATAGGAGCAACACAGACATCCAGAGACGAGAAATTTTACTTTTTGGGAGTACTGTTTTCAGAATCAAATGTGGCCATACCTCCCACTGCCAACTGGGTGTGGTGGGCGGGCAAGGAACTAATAGAAAATGCAGTTGAAGACAGGATTGATAAATAAAGTGAATATTATAGAACTCCATAAACGTTTCTGATTACCCCATATGAAAGAAACGAAAATGAGAAAAAGGTTGCTCGTCTGGAACTTGTAACAGTATACTGGCAGAAGACATAGCTGATGTCAAAATCTGAAAGGAATACTCCTGATAGGCGGCAAAAAGAGTATAAAACAATATTTTATTGCATATGCTAGGTAATAAACATTCCCTGGGCAATAATCTTTAGTGATAAGATACAGTACCTCACTTTGTGACTTTTTAAGAAACACACATACTGATATGTGTGTCAAAAAAGGATGCTTTTCATAACGAGCTTGGTGATGGCTTTTGACAACCCAGACCTGGTATGATTTAAGGAGAGGCTTGTTCCTTTTCAGAGTTCATCTTTATACCATGGCACTTAACAACTCATTTTTCCGGATGGTTGTGGATTGTCATTAGCACACCTGGCTTTCTTTTGTATATGAGTTAGCAATTACAACTGTGACATAATACTCTTATTTTAAACCTTTATAAACTGCACCTTCCTTCACAGACGATCCCAGTGCATGGATTTAAAAATAAAACAGAGTAATAAAGCATCATCAGTGCAGTAACACTGCAGTGTATAAACTTGTACTACAACAACAACCCTGACTCATGATCAATTTGTGGAAGCCTGAACAGAGAGAGATGTTTTCACCAGGTGACAAAAGGAATGCCATATTGAAGTCAGTTGTATCTGACTGAGGAGAGCATCTGAAAAGTTGCTGCCAACTTAACAGAAGATCCACACTTTTATCACTGTATAATGGACCTCACTCAGTGAGGGGACTCAGAAAAGATCCAGTTCCAACAATTTTCATGCATAGCCACAACTGCCACTGAGGAAGTGCTGTGTCCGTTACTTGCGTCCAAGTAATTTAAAGCTTTAAATATCAGCACCAACACTTAGAACTGGATTCAGCATCATACGGAGAATCAATGTCTTTCTTATAGATTTCAGGTAAGATGGCCCCACCTAAGAAAATTTTAGAAGCCATGTTCTGTACCTGTTGAAGCTTTGAAATCTACTTTCAAGGAAACAGCTTCACATAAATGTATTACAACAAACCAACCTTCTTAGACACGTTTACCATCTTACCTGGCACATCCATGTTATAAACTAATTGCACAGATTATATTGGAACTAATGAACAGAGGTAAATATTTAATTATTACACTGCATTATGAAAATGGTAGTAAGACCATGTTTCTCAACCTTATCTAAGCTACATTTAGCTTTTGATAATATACTGTAACAATTTGAAATGCTTCCCCCTCCAAAACTGCCTCCAACAAGAATTATATCTAAAATCTGAAGTATCAAAACTGTGATTGGGAGAGGCAGGAGAAGACTTGGGTGGGTTTTTCACTCCTTGCTCTTAATCTAACAAAGTCAAAAAGCATTTCTTTTTCGGAGTCACAGGAAAGGCAGATTTAGTGGAGCAAACATTAAGGGGCTGCACCTTGGCACCATCCACTCTATCAGTTCTGCACTACAGTGTAATTCAGAGATTAAAGAAAAATAAAAGAAAGATAACAGATCTACTGCAGCATATCATATGTATTTATTGTGTCCTGTCAAGTTGATTCCAGCTCATGGTGACCTTTTCCAAGGTTTCCAAGGTAGGGAATACACAGATGTAGTGAAACATTCCCTTCTTCTGGGGACGTTCCCACAAGAACACACAGGCTGGCTCTTCTCCCTGGAGGCACAGTGGGGAATTGAACTCTCAACTTCTGGCTCATGGACCACTGAGCTATCCAATCAGCTTTACAACATATCATATGAATCTGCAATATACTGCATACCAAGAAAGCAGGTAATATAATTATTTTTCCTGCTTTCCAAATTCAGAAGGATAATATTAAATACTTAGGCTACTATTCTGTGACTGCAGAAAGATAATTGCACAAGTGCTCCCCCCGCTTTGAAAGACTCTCCTTTGTGTGCATGGTCTGGTATTCTTTGCAAGATCAATTGTGCAACTAGTTGTATGATCTATCACATGATGGGTGGCCAGCTAGAGCAGGGGAATGCTTATGCAATTACTCTTCCACTCCAAATAAAACTCCAGCCAGAATATTTAATTAAACTACACACACTTCCCCGAAGAGCCTGATGGGCCCCATTGGTTGGTAATAACCATACTCTACTATTAGTGGAAGTTATCAGAAAACTCTCAGCAACGATTCAAGGCTTCTTGAGCCACATACCACAAGCTAATGGCTGGCCTGGCTCTGAATATCTGCATTATCAAGACAGCAGGATTCCTTCTGATATTTTTTTCTGCAGTCTTAGAGCACACAGCCAGCCAAAGTTTCATACCTGAAAATATGCAACACATAGCTTCCATTTTATGCTACTTATTTGGCAAATAAGACATAGCTCTTACAATCCAAGCATTTCTATTCTGCACTAATTACAAAATATAGACTTCCAGCTTGTCTTAGAATAGACATAAGAAGAATGTTGAAATGGCCTTC